AGGAGGAGGAGGAGGAGGAGGAGGAGGAGGAGGAGGAGGAGGAGGAGAAAGAAAAAGAACCTCCAATATTCTTCCAGACTGAGTGCTTCAGGAGATCCCAAGCCTTATTACACAGGAAGCTCACATGTCAGAGACAGGATGGGAGGGTCGGTAAGCCAGGCTGATGAAGGGTCTGGACCTGCCTTTGAAGGTCAGGGTCGGTCCTTGTCCTGAGAGAACCCCAAGCAGGTGGATGCAGGGGGGCTTTGCTCCAGCTGCCACTATGTGGACTTACTCCCTGTCATACTTCAAACTCATCCCCCCAGTTAGTAAAAGTATCACTGCACTCCTGGGAGGGCAGGAAATGACATTGCCCCAGAGGACTGGGGGAGGCCAGCTGACCTGCCCAGATCATTGAGCTTCAGGTTCAGTGACAGACCACGTCTCAATAAACAGGGAAGTGTAGTTGAGAAAATGCCCCCCAAGACCTACTCTGGCCTCTACACCCACACAAGCAAGTATACAACACACAGTCATATACATACATGCACTGCAAACAATATAATAAATGTATATTTAGATACATCATTTTTTTTTTTAGAGAGAGAGAGAGAGAGAGAGAGAGAGAGAGAGAGAGAGAAAGGGAAAGAGAAAAGCTAATAAAGAGCAGAGAACTCCATGGGCAGTTGGAGCAGGCTTCCGTGCTCCCATGGAAGCTCATGACCCCAGGGAGCATGGCTTCCAGAAGTCCTGGGCTCTGCTGTCAGGGGACTCTTGCTGTCTCATCCATGACACACACCGCTCCCAAGGCAGGCACTGTCACCTCAGAAGCGAGAGGCCCTGTGTGAAACGCTCTCACCTGAATGCTCAGCTTGCCCTTGGTAACTCAGACTGCAAGGGGAGTTCTATGAGAAAGTTAAGGTTCTGACAGCAGACTTTAAAAGGCTGCATTCTGGTACCTGTGGCAATGTGTCCTAAAACTCACGTGTGATATCTAGGGATAGAAAAGAAAGCAAGCCTGCTTTTTAACACACTCAGTCGGGGGGTACGGGAGCTGGAGAGATGTCTCAGTTTACCTCACTGCTGCTCTTCCCATAGACCTGGATTCAATTCCCACACCCACGTGTGCATCACAGTCATATGTTGCTCTAGCTCTGAGGTCTGATGCTGTCTTCTGGCCTCCAAAGGCCCCAAGCACTTACATGGTACACAGACATACATGACATGAAACACCCCCACATATAAAATAGATACTTTTTTTTTTTTTTATTAAAGTCTGGGGCTGGAGGGCAGGGTAGGGGCATCTGCTGTTCCTCAGAGCTCAGGTGTCAGCGGGCAGCTGCTGGTAACATAAACTTCAGAGGGTCCAGTGCCCTGTTCCTGGCTCCTGCTGACACATAAACCCATACACATGAATAAAATTAATCTTTAAAAGTAAAAACTCGCCGAGCAGTGATGGCGCACGCCTTTAATCCCAGCACTTGGGAGGCAGAGGCAGATGGATTTCTGAGTTCGAGGCCAGCCTGGTCTACAGAGTGAGTTCCAGGATAGCCAGGACTACACAGAGAAACCCTGTCTCGAAAAACCAAAAAAAAAAAATAAAAACTAAAAACTCATTCTGAGACTTTTTTTAAAAAAAAGAATTATTTTAATCTGTGGATTTGTTAAAGTTCTGGAAAGATAAATTCTCATTACCTTAGGACAAGTTGTCTTTAAAAGTGTTTGCTTCCTGGAGAATTGAAAGATGCGGATTTGAAGGTTTTCTTGTGTGTTTTCTTTGCTGCTGTGTTGGGGACGGCTCCCACGGCCTGTGTGTCCAGCAGTCTCTTCTGCTTGGACCCCACAGCCCTTTTCTGACTGGAACTCTTGCTCTTCCAGCCAAGCACGTGGATTCAAAGTTACGAGCGGGCAACAAAGAAGCCACAGACGAGGAGCTGGAGAGGATCCTGGACAAGATCATGATTCTGTTCCGGTTCATCCATGGTGAGAAAGGAGGTGCTGTGCAGCCAGATGAGCGCGCAGACCTGCATTCAGAAGGAAAGATGGCCCCCAACCCGGAAGTAGTACCGTACCGAGTTGCTTCTTGCCCCTGGAGTGTAGGATGTAAACCAGGCATCTCAGGTCTTGGTTTTCCTGTTGCACAGGTAAAGATGTCTTTGAAGCATTTTATAAGAAAGACTTAGCAAAAAGGCTGCTGGTGGGGAAGAGCGCTTCGGTGGATGCCGAGAAGTCCATGCTGTCCAAGCTCAAGCACGGTGAGCTCAGGGCGGGCCGGTCCCCGGGCGGGCGCCATGCCAGCTCTCTCTCACCCTTCCTTCACGTACGCAGAGTGTGGAGCTGCGTTTACCAGCAAGCTGGAGGGCATGTTCAAGGACATGGAGCTTTCCAAAGACATCATGGTTCACTTCAAGCAGGTGAGTTGATCTTCAGTAAACTGGCTCAGTGTGGGTCACATTTGTAGCATAAGCTGAGTAAAGAGAGTCGTTACAGTAACGCGGAACCACACTGGAGCATGCTCAGAAGACCGAAGTAGATGCACATGTGAAACTGTGTTGTAAACATTACGCGATTTCCAGGCTGGGGATGTGGGTGCACACGTTTAATTCCAGTGCTTGGGAGGCAGAGACAGATGGATATCTTAGTTTAAAGCCAGCCTGTTTTCTACATAGCAAGTTCCAGGGCAGCCAGAGACACATAGAGAGACCTTGTCTCCAATAAATACATACATGCATACATACATACATACATACATACACGTGCATGTACCATTTCTTCTTCAGTGCATTCCGGATTTGTTTACTTATTTGTTTTGGCTATCTTTGTTTTTAGCATATGCAGAACCAAAGTGCACCAGGCCCCATTGACCTCACGGTGAACATACTCACCATGGGCTACTGGCCCACATACACACCCATGGAAGTGCACCTCCCTCCAGAGGTGAGTGGTCAGCTGCTGAACAAGCCCACTTAGGCCAGACCTCCTGCCTTAGTGGTGGGAGAAAGAGGTTGTCCCGACACCCTCTCCATGTTCAGTGGCCCTGGAAAGTGGTGTTTGGCCTCTTGAGCCACAGGCGTGGCACCTCATCAGCAGGGCACTGTAGATGGCGCCTCCCTGGCTGATCCTTGCTTCCCAGTATGAGACAATGATGAGTCTTGGTCATGGTGTGTGGGCCTTATGCACTGACTGTGATTTGAAGTGTTGTGGAGAGCCTGAAGTGGGACGTGGAGCTGTGGACTCAGGGAGGCTAAAATGGAATGCCCAAACCATCAGTGATGCCAAGAGAGGGAGGAGCAGGCCAGGCCTCCTGCTCAGTGACTGTTCTCATCAGAGGGTGAGGCTGTTCCAGAGGAGAGGCTCAGGAACTGCAGGTACCAGGGCAGCAAGAGTAAGGCTGGGCCCTACAGTAAGGTGGGCCCTGGTCACCACTCCCTGCTGAAACTCTTCAGTTCCCAGACTGGTTTCTCAGTTTCCTTGTTTGGTCCTCACAGGCCTCTGTAACCTTCTCTGTTTGTCTTCATCTCTGTCCTAGCTTTCCTCACAACACAGAGACAGGCCTGTACTCAGCGTTAGCTTGCAGATCTGCTTCTCCCTGGGCTGGCCATGGTATCCTGGGCCGGCTATGGTGCCCTGGGCCTCCAGCTTGCACTCACTGAACCTAACTAGACCAGTTCCTCCCACTCCCTGAGTGCTGCCTGCACCTGCCGTTTGCCATAGGCCTGACCACTGGGCGTCAAGTTTACTCTGTCTCAGCTAGGTTTGTGCCATGTTGCCTCTGCCCTAGTAGCTGTGCTTGGTCCTGCTCTCTGAGAATCATTTTTCCTACCCATTGAGCATCTCGGGACACTGTGGTGTTTTTCACTTGTTCCAAAATGTTCAAATGTATCCAAAGTGTGCAAGGTAATTCCTAGGACGCCTATGTTTGGCACTGGCTGTGGAGACAGCATCTCGTTCCTGTTCCGTGAACTATGTGATACCCTTGCTCTCACTGCCTCAGTGCAGGCCTCCCAGGATTATCCAGAAGCACCTCAGATCAGGAAATGCTCACGAATACAAGTCCTTCATTCAAGCTTTGCCAGCCGTCTGCAGTCTATCTTGATGACGGCCATGGTTAGTCTAGTTGTCAGCACGATTGAATTGAGGACTAACATAGGTTAGCCAAGTCTGCCTCGGCATGTGTCTGTGAGGGCATCTCTAGAGAGGATTGTATCAGGAGATTCTGACCTTTAGTCGGGTGATGGATTCAGATGGTGGTGATTGTAAGAAGGTTGTGGAGCTACAGGGTGTCTGTTGGTGTAATTGGAGGTAGCCTGCGGTCTGTCGGTGTAGTTGGAGGTAGCCTGCGGTCTGTCAGTGTAGTTGGAGGTAGCCTGCAGTCTGTCAGTGTAGTTGGAGGTAGCCTGCAGTCTGTCGGTGTAATTGGAGGTAGCCTGCGCACCCTGGCTCTGCTTCCTTTGCTTCAGTACTTCTGTTTCCTGGCCACTGGGAGGGGAGCCACACAGCCTTCCTCTGCCACACACTCCCTCCAGGACCTGTCCACCTTGCCCTGGGCCTAAAGGTGGTGATAGCACCCAACTCTGGACTGGGACTGACCCAAAGTGCACACATCCTCTCCAGTTGTTGTTGTCAGGTATTTGTTACCTTGTCACCGCAGTGACCACAGACTCACTGCTGTGGTACCCACTGCCCAGGGCACACAAGCAGGACCTCATCTCAGCTTCTGGGTCCATGTTCCACAGGAGCTGTTTAGGGCTGTGCTCATCTGTGCCTGTGTAAGGAGCCCTGTCTGAATCGGCCTTACTGTAATGAACGGCATTGCCTGCCCTATTCCATCTGTTTAGAACCTAACGTTGTGCTCTAGGGAAGGACTCTCTTCTCCACTTGATATAGCTGCCCTTAGGTCTGTCACTGAACTCACGGGTTCTTAGTTACTTATTTGATGCCCACGCCATCCAGAGCTTGTGGCTGGCTCGCTAGGCTTTTTCATACCCTCATTGTTTGTGAGGACATTTTTGGTTTGTAGCAGAAGGTGTTGGAGCCTTACCTAATACTGTATGTTTTCAACTGTGACAAAAAACACCTTCACATAGAATTTTCTATCTCACAGATGGAAGCCCTGTCCCCTCAGGTGGCCTAACCCTGTCTCTTCCCCTTGGGCAGCAGCCACTGTCTGCTTTCTGTATGACTTGCCCTTGATGCCCTGTTTTGGGGCTCATACGTGATGTGCACGTGGATGGGTTTCCGGTCCAGGATCCCTCGTGCTACAGTGGGTGTTGCTGCAGTGTTCCTCTTTTGACTCTTCACTCGGCCATTCACTGACGATGAGCCTCAGGTTCTTTCTGCCTGTCACAGCGTGCCTATGAGATGAGTGTTGGAACGCCATGGTCGCTTCTGGACAGATAGCTGGAACAGCTCTTCCCAGTGAGGAGCAGCTCATCGCTCTCAGGCTCCTGGCCTGCCACCCCTGAAGTAGGCGGGAGGCGGGGCCCGCCAGGGTGCTCTTTCCTGGGGATGATGTTAACCATCTTTTAAAAGTATTTACTTATTCAACATATATTACTGCCCTGTCTTCAGACACACCAGAACAGGGCATCGGATCCCATTACCGATGGCTGTGAGCCACCATGTATCTGCTGGGAATTGAACCCAGGACCTCTGGAAAAGCAGTTAGTGCTCTTAACTGTTGAGCCATCTCTCCAGCCCTAGGCCTGTTAGGCATCTTTTTGTGTGTGTGTTGGCTAAGCTGTCTTGTCAAACCCCTTTTCTGAGTTGTCTTTGGTTATTTTGAGTGTCTTCACATGTTCTGGACTCCTGACGCTGACAGAGTATTTGTATGATCTGCAGATACTTTCTCTGTGAGCTATCTTTGACTTTCTTGAAAGTGTTCTTCGTAGTTTGTTTTCTGTCGCTGCAACAGAATTCCTGAGACTGATAATTTAGTTCTCAAGTCTGGGGAGGCCAAGGTCTAAAGGCTGCCTGTGAGAAGGGGTCAAGTAGAGAAAAGGGTTCAGGAAAGATTGCCAGCCAAGCTGCTAGTGACTGCTGACCCACACTCCCTCCCTGGGTGCCCTTTGAGGTCATTCAGTATATGCTCTGCACGCATGTGTGCATGTCCCAGGTTAGCCTTCTGTCACTGACAGTACGTGAAAGAAACCACTTAGAGGAGTGAGGGTTCCTTTGTTCTCAGTCTCAGAGATTGTAGCCCATGGTCAGCTGGACTCACCATGGCTTTGAGACAGGAGCATCAAGGCTGCTCATCTCAGGGTCCAACCAGAGCCCAGGAACAGGACATACTCTCAGAGGCATATCCCCAAGACCTACTTGCGTCAACAGACCCTGCCTCTGAGTTTCCAGAACTTATTGCCAGTGTAATTCATTGATGAGGTCAGACCCCCTTGTGATTCACTTGTTTTTCAAAGCCCATCGACTTGCAGCCAAGCCTGTAGCACGTGAGCCCCCACGGGCCATGTCAATATGAACTGTGACAGTGTGTGCCAGCAGCCCAGCCAGAGGGAGAGGAAATGTACTGGGCTACAGGTACTGTACAGGCTACAGTGGCCACATGTGCCACTGGAGATGGCCAGCAGGAGTGAGTAGAGCCTGAGTGTCAAGCACAAAAACAGACAGTAGGCAGATGTCACAGGAAGCTCTGAGGTCTGAGGCCCATGGGTATTATCACAGTTAATACAGCCTAGAATATAACTGTCAAAACCTGAAGCTGCATTTTTAGCTCAGCTGTGCTGTCCTGTCAGAGTTTTGTCAGGTTCCATGTGATGGTGGTACACGCCTCTGTGAGTTGGAGGCCAGCCTGGTCTACACAGTTCTGTGACAGCCAAGCTACACAAGAAAACCCTGTGCCGAAAAAGAAACAAAACAAACAAACAAAAAAAGAGCTCTGTCACTCTCAGATGTCCTGAGTGTCTGTCTCCCATGTGTCTCCTCCTTGGCAGATGGTCAGACTTCAGGAAGTATTCAAGACGTTCTACCTGGGCAAGCACAGTGGCCGGAAGCTGCAATGGCAGACAACGCTGGGACATGCCGTGTTGAAGGCAGACTTTAAGGAGGTCAGGTCTTGGTCCAGTGCTCCTGTTTCTTCCTTTCTGGCAGGATGTTAGGAGAATTTTCAGATTGTCATTGAACTTCCGTAGCAATGAAAGGCAAGATTTTCTTCAGTACGATTCAGCAGTAGCTTTTCTTGTCAATTAAAATAACAAGTAAAGGGTTAATATTCTACTTAACAAGAATCAATAGTAAATTAATCAATAGCAAATTATTTGCCAGGGTTGGAGAATGAATCAGTAGATACAGTATCCTTGCTGCACAACCACGAAGGCCTGAGTTCAGATCCTTAGCACCCAGGTGTGGGTGTCAGCAGGACGCCTCGGCTGGTAAAGTCACCTGGCACCAAGCCTGGCAACGAGGACTACATGGTAGGAGGAGGGAAACCCTCCCCCAGGTTATCCTCTGACCCCCATAAATGCACATGACAGCCACACCTGCACATACAATGAACAAATACTTAAAACTTTGGTAATAGGCATGGCTGTGATCACATCTGACCTGAGCAGTCAGGGTGCAAAGTCATGGGGGAATCACAGGGCTTTCACCAGCCTCACTGAAAAACAGTGAAAGACCTATCTCAAGAGTTCAGAAAGCAGCAGAGTAGGGTACTTAGCATCCTCCTCTGGCCTCTGTACATGCACAGCAGCACACACCGCACACCACACACCACACACTGCACATCACACACGCAGTCAGGAAGAGAGCACTAGGTGTGAAAGACAGCTCTGAAAGCAGGCCTGAAAGGCCGTGTGATGAAAGTGTGCTCCAGTGCTCTGCTGAACAAAACAGTGAGGTCTGGCTGTGACCAAGATGCTGATGGATCCTGGAGAGGACCAGCAAGTGCAGCTCCCAGAGGGAGTTCAGCTGTGTGGGATCCTGGAGAGTGGTCTGTGGAAGTCTGGCTGCAGACCAAACCAGGTCACCTCCTTTTCACTGCTTTAGTTTCCAGTTCTAGAAAGCACCCTCTTTCGGGGCGCGTGTGTGTGTGTGTGTCCCCGAGGAGTCCAGAAGCATCCCAAATACCCTGAAAATACCACACACAGTTGTGACCCACCTGATGCAGGTGTTGGTTCCTACAAGAGCAGCAAGGTACTCTGGCGAGCTGCTCTGGCTGCCCTCCCTTCTCTCTTCTTTCTTCCTGTTAGCTATTTTATCTTCCTTCTGTCGTAAAGTGCCAAGTCAAGGAATAAGTTTTGTTATGTGCCAAGAAACCAAGAAGAGAATCTTTTAAGATTTCCATAGGCCAGGCGGTGGTGGCGCACGCCTTTCATCCCAGCACTTGGGAGGCAGAGGCAGGCAGATTTCTAAGTTCGAGGCCAGTCTGGTCTACAGAGTGAGTTCCAGGACAGCCAGGGCTATACAGAGAAACCCTGTCTCGAAAAAAAACAAACAAACAAACAAAAAGATTTCCACATACTCTCCTCCAAAGTCACTTCAGTTAGAGATGGTTAGGAGTCCTTACTAAGACATTTGCACAGATTACCGGATCAGAATGGTCACCTCAGAGCTGTAAGGAGCAAACACCAGCTGCACAAGGACATGAAAGAAGTATGTCACCGAGCAATGGCTGGGACAAACCACCCATGTTCACATCTCCAAGTTTAATGTATAAATCATGTGTGTTAAGGAGCATGCTCAGAGTTCGTATTTTGTAGAGCCATTATGACACACTCACCCATACATTGTATTACTCTATAAGGACCACATACGTTCTTCTGCAAGGTTTAGCAAAGTTGAGTTGTGCCACTTGTGAGTGTCTGGCTGTACAGTTAGGAGCTGACCTCTGCAGACAGCAGACAGCCCCTGCAAGAGGCACCCGACACTGTTCCTCTCCCAAATCCCCTTCCTACCCTTTGTCTTCTCCATACAGAACCGCCAGGTCTCATGCTTCTGACTGTCCCCTGGGACATTCTAGATAAGGAAAAAGGACCATGGAACATCCCTGGCAGAGTCTGCCTCACAGAGCAGCTGGGCAGAGGGCACACAGAGTGCACTGTTCACTTGCTCTTTGTTTGAACCAAGTGTTGGGAGCACTGCAGGCCTTCCTTTCCCATGCTTTCTCCCAAACTCCCTGTGCTCCTCCAAAGCCTCTGGGGTTTCCATTGCCACCCAGAGCCTCAGAAAGCCATGTGTGATAATGCGTGTCCGTGAGCCCAGCACTCCAGACGGCAGAAGGATAGAAAGTTCAAGGCCACCCTGAGATCATACAGCAAGCCATTGTCTTAAAACAGTAACAGCAACAAACAAATAGGCCTGGTGTCTGGGAAGTTATGTTAATTTGCAAGGACCGGTGGGTACTCAGCAGCCTGAATCCTCTGCCTCAGCCTTCCGCTCGTTGCTGGCTTACAGGCCTGTGTTGCCATGTCCAGCTCCAGGAATTTACATGGAATACTCAATAATCGTTTCATTCTTTTATAATTAATGACATAATTTCTTCTCACTTGGTGCCTGTTAGTTAGTTCTGAGTCCCCTAAAAAACAATGCATGCAAAGCATCCTGTTGTGACTTATAAAAAGTGTCCCAGCTCGGCTTCTGTGACGGCTCCATTCTCTTACAGGGGAAGAAGGAATTCCAGGTGTCGCTCTTCCAGACGCTGGTGCTGCTCATGTTCAATGAGGGGGATGGATTCAGCTTCGAAGACATAAAGATGGCCACCGGCATAGGTGGGAAGACTCCTCATGACATTGTTTGTTTGTTTGTAAGCTGTATCACCTTGGCTATTCTGGAAGTCAGAGATGTACTACTTCTGCCTCCAATTTGCTGGGGTTAAGGCGTGTACCCCACACTGGCACTTAATACTTCTGTGTTGATTTAACAGAGAGAGCATAGGCTGGAAGTGTGGCTCAGTAGCAGAGTGCTTGCCTAACCTGCACAGGAGCCTGGGTTTCATCCAGAGCACTAGGGAGAAGAGTTGAAGAGGTGTAGACTGTGGCACATCCACGGTTCCTCTCCTGGCTGAGTCTCTTGTGTGTTCTGTGACAAGTCTATCTCCTTTGCCTCCCTCAGAGGACAGCGAGTTGCGAAGAACACTGCAGTCTCTTGCCTGTGGTAAAGCACGGGTCCTGATTAAAAGTCCCAAAGGAAAGGAGGTGGAAGACGGGGATAAGTTCATCTTCAATGGAGACTTCAAACACAAGCTGTTCAGAATAAAGATCAATCAAATCCAGATGAAGGAAACCGTAAGTGCCTCTTCGTTTACACATGTTGTCTGGTCAAGGAGTCCTTAACATTTCTAGTAATGTTGTGACCACCAGAGGTCACAGCCTATGTCTGAATCAAGTACAAGTGTAGAGTTTTAGAATAGTGTCCTTTTATTGATCTTTAATTGATTTTATGTATCAATAGAAGTAAAAGTCAAGAAACTTGTTTGAAATCATACCTTCCCATATCAAATGCCAGAACAGAAGCAGCACATGGGATTTCCAGAAGTTAGTGCCTGCCCTCTGTTGTGCCTTGGAAGAAGGAAGTGGTCTACTACAGACCCTCAGACCTCAGAAGCAGCAATTCCAGCGGGAGCAGGCTCTCAGTTTCCCAAAGCTGGACAAGCCTACAACCACACTGTCAGCCCTTCTGACCTGAAGCTGACACACACTGGGTTCTAGTGCCTTCCTAGAGATGTTTACTCTAGTATATATATATATATGAAGGATTCTTACAAATTGTAGACGGGAGAACAGATTTGCAGAACAAGTGTAACTACCTAAGTGATGCCACAGGCTACCCCTCCCACAGACAGTGATTGTGTCACTTTTCCTGAGACTTTCAGTTTGCTGCACAGAAAATGTACTCAAAATACTCAGTGATGTGGTCTCCGAAGGTGGAGGGAGGTCTCCACAGTTACTAACACTGCTGCTCTTTCAGAGGACTTGCTTTCCCAGGGTCCACATGTGGCTCACAGCATCCTGAGCTGCTAGGAAGCCCTGGATACAGGCATTCTTACAAGAAAATACAGCTTCTAAATTCATTTTTCTAAGTGTTCATTTTAGAGTTGTACACTTGTGAAAAGTTAAGAGCTTTCATGGAACAAATTAAAACGTAGCAAAGCAGAACAAAGCCTGCGTCAGTCTGCATCAAACCAGTGTGTCAGTACAAAGCAATGTTGAAGCACCTGTTTACTCCTTCCGTTTTCCTTTCTCATTGTCCAGGTTGAAGAACAGGTTAGCACCACAGAGAGAGTATTCCAGGATAGACAGTACCAAATTGACGCTGCTATAGTCAGAATAATGAAAATGAGGAAGACACTTGGTCATAATCTTCTAGTTTCTGAATTATACAATCAGCTGAAATTTCCAGTGAAGGTGAGTACCGTCGGCACAGCTGGGTGTTAGGGTGAGTACC